CGAACACTTTCTTTTACACTTCACTAGACCAGGCACCAAAAATCTTGGGGGATGGTGTGGGAAACGGTTGTTTACTTAGTTCAGCTGCTATTCGGACGATATATTCACACTCTATCGTCGCATCCAATGACAGACCCCGATTTTTCTCTTATATACTTTCTAGCGTTTCCATTTATCTTGCTTTATTTATAATATATATAAGTCAGACTAATCAAAAGAATGGTTCATGCGAATCAATATCTCATCCTACCGGTGCTAGTACTAGTGCTACTTCCTCCCAATATACTCAGCACTATCTACTACCTACTCATCCATTCATTCATCCATCCATCCATCCATCCATTCATCCCTTCATCCATCCCATCCATCCTATCCCACCCATCAGTCCGTCCATTCATCTACTCGTCCATTCAATAGATTCATCCGCCACAACTCAATCATAGGTCCTCTAGTACAACAGTACAGCATACACAAAGATAGCAAAAGATTTCAAACATCTCATCATCCCGAGGTGGCGATGAAAATCCCCCAAATTAATACCGCATTCAATTCAATTCAATTCAACGTTCCAGTGTTCCAGTCCTCCAACGCTCCTACTTTTCTCCATTAACTTTCAGATGCGTAACATACATACGCGAAATGCATCCCAAATAAGTCCGGTATTGCGTGGCATAAACTACTTCAAACCAAGTCTCTGATCCCGAAAAACGGATGGAAACGTAGGGTGTACGTACCTGACTTTGCCTTACCTTGGTCAACTAGTCTCAACGCCTAGAACATTTCTTTTTAGGTGCAGCAGTAGCAGTAACACCAAGGAAACCCGAAAATCCGTCACTGCAAGACCGTTAAATGGGTATTTTCCAGATCCGGACGACATATAACCTGGGTTTCCATTCCCTTTCAGCACCATTTCACGATGGCACAAATGGAAAGAAGTGTTTGATTTCAAAGGTACGAGAACCCCAAATGATCCATGAGATTGTCTGTTTCAAATCATCAAAAGTCTGCGCTTATACTCATTGATCGATTACAGATACCTAGAAATCTATAAACGGTCACTTGCATAACGAAACATCTCGCGTACCACCCAAATCCCAATCCTTCCTCCACAAAATACAGGGGATTGTACCCCTGGTGTAGGATGGCGGCAGGCGAGAGCTCTCGAATGTCACTCTACCCATTCAGGGGTTACTTTGGCTGCATTCATTCTGATAATCTTGCATAAAGGTATTGTACAAATCGGATGGGAATCTGGGTAGGTAGGCTTGTGCCCAATACGAAATATGAAAAGTTATGCTAATAATTTCCTTTTCTTTTCGCACTGTTCAGAATTTGGTTGACGATATCAGATAATACTCATTTTCATTTCACCCACAATTTGAGTCCCTAGTTTGACCATCCCATCCTCTCATGATTTCCTATTACGATCAATCTCATTAATATCGACATGGGAATTTCAAAATGTGATGGGGAAATGCACTTCCATGCATTTTCTAGGCACATTCAGGCCATATATCAGCCCCCGTGGCTGATTCTAGATCTTCTATTACTTCGATTTCTTCCACCGCTCCTTTCTTTTCCACTTTGATCGCAAACTTCTCGTCAAACAGTTCCAGATGAATAGATCTCGATGATGAAGATAAGTTCCGCTTCGTCCCCGTATATTCAGCCCCGATTTATTTTCACATTCTATCTCATCCCTTACACATGTCCAAATCCCATCCAGCTAGTCGGCTAAGAGCGGAATACCTACCCACCGGTGTAAAGGTCGTGTTCCGTAGCACAAAGATGGGATGTCAATGGCTACCGGCATATTAACCATGTACTTTGATCTTTTTTCATCCCTTTCTTGTTTTTCGTGTTACGCTCTGTCAGTGTTATCGGAGTGATACAATGTCACATGATGATTGATGTTTCCAAGTATCAATTTTCTTGTGTGACGTTATTTCTATATTTGCTTTCGCTGTGTTACAGTTGATCTGTTATCTTAGGCTCGAGGCCTTTTTGTTTGTTTGGGTAAATATCATATGCTTCAATGCCCAGTCTTAACCCCTATCATATACATATGGTCTATCCTGCCAATTGCTTTCTTCCTCTCTTCCCTTTTTCTCAAATATCTACTTCTAAACGCGGGGCCAAATCACAAGTCACAAATTCAGGGGTCCGAGAAATAGAAATAAATGAGGCGAACTCACAAAGCCACACCGGCGCCCTGCATATGATCCATCGGAACTTGCGGATAAGATATAGGAAAGAAGTATGTATATGTTTCACATGACGGAAGACGGAAGCGGGTGATCGAAATCCGGTTGCTTGGTAAATAGTGACGTGACGACTTTGACGATTGAGGTTTTTCTTTTGATTCATCTTTTGAAAATCTATGAGGCGTACGTACGGTGGGGGCTGTGAGGTATACAGGCTGAGACTTGAGAAAGATCTGAGGTGGGGGTTTGATGACGGCTACCTAGTGTGGTGCTACTTGATTCTGGTCTGGTGATTAGGTGTATGTGTGCTTTTGTAGCTTGGAGATGGAATTGGGGAGACGAAACTTGGAGACTGGAGCCTAGATGGGATGTATAGGGGGAGGGAAATTGTATATGTAGGTACAAAGTGATTGCAACTGTAGTTGATTGTTCTATCAATTACGGGAATCGAGATGTTTACTGTGAGACTGCGGAAAGAGATGACACCCAAGGAAAGGAGATGGGGAAAGAGGAGAAAATAACGTTTGAAGTAGAGTGGTAACCTCCAGGAGGAAAGTATCAGTAAATACTTTGAGCATTGGATCGGAGCAAGCTGATTGCAAGACTATGTATATTACGTGTATTGTCGAGACAAACGCAGAGACCTCTATGCACGATATACGATTCTAGGGATAGTACACCGTCATATTAGGGAGCGAGATGGGAGATGGGAAATGTATTTGTGTGCGTTTCTATATATCCGAATATCGTGGTATTGTAATGTTGCGATGATGTGGTGGGCAAGCGGATGGGACTAGCATAGCGTGGATGGGTGGATGAGGATAGGTAGGGCTGTGTGAGAAGTGGGTGTGAGAAGTGGGTGTGAGAAGTGATTGCGGTGTATCTGGGTTTGGGGCTTGGATGTTGAGTCTTGAGTCTTGAGTCTTGAGATGCTTTTTGGGAGGAGGGGTGATGGGGGGAGGGGATATACGGCGATGCGAAGATGGGGAATTGGAGAATTGGAGCATTGGAGCATTGGGAAAGTAATTTTTGAGGATGGAAAATTTGGAAGGGGATGGAGTGGAAGGTAATGGGAGATTGAGGTTGGGAGAGGGGAGAGAGACTGAGAGAGATTGAGAGAGTTGGATCTATGGATCGGAATTTTTTTTGAATGTGTTGAGGGGGAGGGAGAAGAAGAGGAGAGGGATGAGAAGGGAGGAGGAGGAGGAGAGGGAGGAGAAGGGAGGAAAAGGGAGGAAAAGGGAGAGAAGAGGGAGAGGAGAGGGAGGAGAAGGGAGAGGGAGTGTGATCTTTGGGAGTCAAGCCCGGAAATAAGATTTAGAGATTGGTAGGAATGAGGTAGGTACCTATGAGTCCTTCTTTTTGCTATAGGTAGTTGACAATAGGTAGGTAGGCAGGTACTTGGAAGTATTTTCAAATATCACGCTGTGGATGTTTGGACCTGGACTTGGACTTGGACTGGGGGTTGGGACTAGGGCTGTGGTTGTGGTTGTAGTGGGGATTCACTCACAGCTAGGGGTGGTAGGTAGGTATACAAAGTTGAAGATGCCATACATGTATAGAAATATATGACATGTCCAGATTTTATAATGACATCCAAGATTTTAAACTAGGTAAGTGTGGACTCTGGACCTGGAATCTTTCACTCATCTAATCTACGTTTCTTTGCTCATGGAGAATCATCTCGAGGGTTATATCCTGTGGCTAGCATTTGAAAACTTCCCTCCTCTTCTCTCCTCTAATAAAGAATAGGAATGGTGAGAATTTTTGATAAGTCAGACAGTTTAGGAAGTTTTAATTTTTTCTTCGAGAAGATGGTAAGTTTTACGTTGAACGAAAAAGAGGAAGAGAAAATAAGATTTGATGAACTCTCGAATTATAGAGTAAAATGGGATTGATTGATTGTATTTTATACATGTTATATTCTTTTCTCAAGGAAAGATTATAGACAGCTCTCTTGAAGATTAGATAGGTTGAGGATTCTTCTAAACTCAAAAGGATTTAGAGGTTTCTTTTAGGTTTGGGGAGAGGAGGAGGAGGTGAGTTTTTAACCGCTGCGTTTGGTGATATAGTGATCATAAGCGCAGACATTTCCTATTATATAACACGACTTGTCGATATCTAGACGAGGTTTCTCTAAGTGGTTTTCTCTATTGAGGGTTTAGGATTGCGAGCTTGATGAGGGTGTGAGAGAGGTGTATGTATATTTGTGGGTGGGTAGGAATCTCTATCTCTATGCTCAAATTCTTATTTCAGCCCCGAGGATCAGGAATTGGAATATGATTGGTTGTGCATGAGCAATGACATTGAGCATGCAGCTTCGAACTCATCTCGGGTTTCTATTGAGAAATTAGGGTTGCAACTATGATTGTGAAGGTATAAGAGAGACATGTGTATGTGGTTGTCTTTGTAACACAATTAGTTGTATATGTAAGTATGCAGCTTTGAGTGCGTTTCGATTGAAGCTTTGGGATTGCGACCACGAGTACGGAAGAGAGAGGTAGTCGTCTCTATACTCCAGTTCTCTTTTAGGTATCGAAAGACAAAGTTTGTAATGTGTTTGATCATACATACTAGGTACCTACATATAAGTATACGGCTTTAATCACACTTCAGAATTGCGATCACGAGTATGAGAGAGAGATGTGGTCACCTGAACTATAACGTGACTGCTTAATAGGTAGGTGCTAGGTATGTAAGCATGCAGGAGAGATATCATGATCCTTGGTAATCGCTGTTGCCCCACCTTTTCAGCCTGCTCACTTTGTTGTGTTCACCAGATATCTTTTGTGAATTATGTCTTTGGCGGAAAAGAGATCTGGAGTTGATAGTGATGGTGATGATGATGAGATTGTGGATATAAGAGAGTTGGGATTGGAATTGGGAGCGGTGGAATCTGATGCAATGGGAAGATTGTCGTCGGATGCTATTGGGACGGATAGTGTAGAAGTGGGTGATGTTTGTGAAGCTCAGGAGCGGGGGAATGCTGAATTGTTTGTGGAGGTTGATGGCAAAAATCTGGATGAAAATCTGGATATTGATGGCGAATCAAATGATGACCCTACAACGAACGATTCGGGCTACTATCCTGACCAGGATTCTGGTGTCAAAAACGACACTGATGAGTTGAGAGAAGAGGCATTTCGTGGGAACGAGGGAAACGAAAGTATCGAAATACATGTTTCAGACGACTCGGATGGCTACAATGTCACTTTTGATGGTGATGTGGATGTGGGCAAACATAATGATGAGATCCCCTTGGTGGAACGTGAAGAGAGTGAAGAAGAAGAAAGTTCGGACGATTGCAATTCAGATTATTCAGACTTCCTTTCTAGATCTGAGATCAATGTTCCGCAGTTCGTACGATGGCCAATTGAAGATCCCCAAGTCGCTGAAGAGAAAATGGAGAGTGAGAAAAACATGAACGCGACCACGGCCGAGGTTTTGAATCCCGACTTGTGCAAATTCTGTAGGGTGTTCTTCGATACTTGGTCCGACGTCTATAACTTATTATCCAAGACATGTACGGATGATGTTAATCTAGTATCTGCGCATCATGATACCGTGTCTGATATGGAAGCATCGGCGTCTGGCGGATGTTCTTTGTGTGCTCTTTTTTTGAGTATACTATACAGCAAGAGGGATAATTCCAATTCTCGTGCTCATGAGGGCGGCAATCACTTGCCTCTTGATCAACTGAAGCCCTACCGCATGAGACTTACCAACGTTGGTCAAATGCGCAGCGGCGAAAATCGCCCTGAGAGACGAAAATTGTGGTATATATTGCTTGATTTCCAGTGGGTCGACGATGGTCGTCGGAGTGTAATGTCGGCTCTTGCGAAACTGTTGCTTGATGATTTTTTTGATTCTGAACATTGGAAACCCGAGTATTATACTAATAGAAGTTTTGAACAGAATGGTTGGGAAAGCTTGCAATTAGGCTGTACTAAAGAATCTACAGACCTTGTGCGGGCATGGCTTCGAGAATGCCGTTTAAGTCACAGTGCTTGTAGACAACAACAAGAAGCTTCTGCTCTACCTACCAGACTGATCAAAATTGACTGTCAAGAGGTTCGTCTATGTATATCTGCCAATGAGAACTGCTCGCAGTACGCAACTTTAAGTCATTGCTGGGGACAGGTGGAAGTGTTGCGACTCCAAAAGGATAACCTACAAGCTTTTATGAAAAAGATTCCCCATGACAAGCTATGCAAAACTTTTCGCGATGCGATTGATATCGCGAGAGTCTTAGGTTTCTCATGGCTATGGATTGATTCATTATGCATAATACAAGGTGACCCCGAGGACTGGAGTAAAGAAGCTTCTCGAATGGCTATTGTTTATGGACTTTCAAGTTTGAATATTGCAGCCACAGCTGCTCCCGATGGTACCATTGGTTGCCTGTTTGGACGAGATCTGAGAAAAATAGGAGCGCATAAGGTCGAAGTGAACTCAAACCATCAGAAGAAGGTCTGTAGCATTGCAGACTGGCGGTTCTATGCCAATAATATCTCTGGCGCGGCCTTGACAAAACGCGCCTGGGCTGTACAAGAGCGAATACTAGCCTCACGGACATTACATTTTACTAAATCTCAAATCTTTTGGGAATGCAGAACTAAACAAGCTTGTGAGACTTTTCCTGATACATTACCGGAAGCTGTATGTAACGACTACTTATATTTACCTAGGCAAGAACTCCAATCATGGAGCAATATCATCAGAGTATACACTAATTGTTCCTTAACAAACGAGAGCGATCGTTTGATTGCAATAGGTGGCGTGGCACGACAACTCCAGAATAGAACTGGTGACAAGTACTTTGCAGGACTGTGGCAATCTCGCATTAAAGAGCAAATGTGCTGGTATATGGACAAAAATCTTGCAGAACCCTCAAGAGAAAGAACTTGTCAAGCCCCATCCTGGTCATGGGTTGCAGCAAAGGGAAGAGTCCATATGCCTGATGATAAAAAAGTGCTCCGCAAATCATTTATTCACGTCACTAATGTTATGACAACTCTTGAAGACAATGATGATCCATTTGGAGGTGTCAAAAGCGGAACTTTAGAACTGCGCACAAAGTTTATGACATTTTGTGAGAGAGAAACACCATTTGACCAGTATGTTGGAATACCACTTGGTAAAATCTCAATTAGTCCTTTTTATATCAATTGGGATCACAAAGATTGTGGCCCGAAACGCTGCTGTAATTCGATTTTAATACTACCTATTGGTATCTCGGAGGTAATTGATGCGAACGATTGTCCGCAAATTGAGGGGCTCTTGCTGAGACATACCGATCAAGAAAATGGGCAATATGAGCGTCTAGGTGCTTTCACCATCTTCGAAGGAAGAGCTGGATACGAATTAATTTGTCGAGCCATGAATCTTGCCCAAGATGAGCAATTTGAGGAACTGGGTCTGCTGGAAGATGACGGTACCCTCCCTTCCGAAAAGGATTATATTTCCACTGATGTGGGCGAAGATGGAATTACGTGGTATACAATTTCTATTGTATGAAAATACGATGAAATTACGACAGACTGCATGCACATGTGTGGTTTAGTTATGAAGTTTCTAGGGTGCACTTTGAGTTTGTTTTTCATCTTGATCTCCGGATTTCTTACTGAGTTTTTATTGTTGTTATGCTCTTGATATTTACGCCGCAACGTTTTTGTTCAGGAAGTTTCATAGTTCATGATTTCCTATAGTTTCTATAGTTCAATGAAGGGGGTGGGGGTGGCTATTGAATGTCAATACGATGAAAGTCTTGCAGCACACAAACAAGTCTTCTATTCCCCTGACCTCAACATTCAAGATCGACAATGACAGATATTGCAGAGAACACTAAACATGTGATTATAAGGTATAACTCAACAGTTCTATTTGAGACCTTGATAGGTGTAGATGTAGACGGACTATAAAACCTGGAGTGTAGAATACTGAACCATACTGTAACGATACCCAAGAACTCGATCTAGTAGGACTATCACTCTAGCATTTGGCCGGCTCACTTCAAGCTGCTACTTGATCTTGCCGTCGACAAGCCTTAGAAGGGTGACCCGATGCGGCTTACATAGCTTCATGCAATTGTGCACATTAGAGTCTCGTCTTACCTGGAGTCAGATATAGGAGCGTATCACTTCAAAAGTATGGTATAGGTAGGGAAGTACTGCATTATATAATAGCATCTCTTATATTGTTCCAGATAGCTGGGTCTAGATAAGAGACTAGAAGTCTCTGCAAGAGAGGAGGAGTGATAAACTCCCAACCTTTCGCTTTCGAGGTGAGAGGTCTGTCCTGACGAGCAGTCGTTTCTTGGACAGCTAAGTGTCAAAGTGTACCACACTAGTGATATTCACATGTCAATTAGTGAAGGAAAGAAAGGCTAGATGTTTTTAAAGGGAAAAGAGCGGAAATTACTACAGAACAGCAATAGAGGACACAAGGGTAAGAGATTGCAGTAGGATGCTCTCATATTCCTAAAATAGGAGGGATTCAAGACAGCCACTCAATGGCACACGTCTGTGGAAATGTTAAATTCCTAACACCTCATAAAGCCAAAAGTTTATGTTCTCACGACCGCATCAACTTAGCAATATCCGATTCACAACACTTGATTCTTGCCAAGCTATTTTCATTGAAACGAGAAAAGGACCTCGCTATTGATCAGTATTGCCAAGATAGTACGTACAAGCGAGAATGGGTATGTATGTACGTACTTTCTCCCACCATTGTTTGTATGGGCTCCACACAATTACTGCTCAAATTCATGTGATTATTCTCAATTCCTCAGCTTTCATTCGCTTCGAGAATTCACTGTGATGACAGCATGGACCCGATACTGTCCAAAGGAATTATGCTTGGGGCTGTGTCTTAGGGATAGATGGGGTTTCTTTGCCGAATTCTTTCTCTTTGGCAAACTTATAGACCCATACTTCTTCGACTTTCTTCATTGATATTCTTCTATCAAAATGAAAATGGCGTTTCATCCGTTCCTGTCACTGGGACTCTCGAGTAGCTGCACCATGTTGCTACTTACCACAGTTGCAACGTTTCTCGCTCTCCCAGTTGGACTCATCATCTGGTCAGCTCAAACCCTAGCTACCAACCGTGCTAAAGCCCGCGCAACAGGTCTTCCCTACCTCATTCGTTATGTATCGCCCATGAATTCCATCTGGCTTTTCTATGGTAGTTCCATTATCCGACTCTGTCAACGACTGGGTATTACATCTGAAAACTTCACATGCATCTATTCTCACGGCTGGGAAGCCAATGAGCGAGCCCAAATCTTCGTTGATTACGGCGATGCATTTCTAGTGGTTCATCCGGCGGGTATGCAACTTTGTGTTACTGATGCTAAAACTATCTATGATGTTCTGACGAGGAAAAGAGAGTTCAGGAGGAATATGGAGGAAATGGCTGTTTTGGATGTTTATGGACGGAATTTGTCTACGGTGGATGATGCGGAGTGGCAAGCTCATCGGAAGATGACGACAGTGACAGTTACGGAAAAGAACAATGAGCTGGTGTGGGAACAGTCGTTAGCTCAAGCGAAGGTATGTTGAAGTATTGGACTGAACAGGCGAAACAGCCAGTTCGATCGACACATTTGGATACTAAGAATTTTACGCTCAATGTTCTTGCAGCTGCAATGTTCAACGAAGTGTATCCATTCGAAGGCCAGGAGATTGAGAAGCCAGATGCTCATAAGAACGATAAGTCGTATCAGTATCGAGAATGTCTATCCACGATTCTGTCATCCATCATCCAGATTTTCGTCTTCGGAGAAGAAGTTCTAAAAGCTTGGTGGACACCTCGATTATTTAAAAATGCAGCCAGAGCGATGGATGGCTTCCGCTCCTATATCTTCGGTTTGATGAATAAAGAAAAAGAGCATCTTGCACGTGGAGACTTTGAAAACAGGCATTTAGTAGCACGTCTAGTGAAAGCTCGCGAGGAGAGTGAAGAATTGGATACAGATATTACAATCACGGACCAAACATCGGATAGAGGGAGAAAGATGACACTTACGAAAAAAGAGATCTTAAGTAATCTTTTCGTCTACACTTTTGCTGGTAATGATACAACGGCAATTGTGCTCACCAGCTTACTTATCCATCTTGCTGCCAACCCCGACACCCAAGATTGGGTTTCTGAAGAGATAAACTATTATCTGCCCACAGGTGCGAGTGTAGAATCCTGCAAATACGAAACATACTTTCAATTAAAGCGCTGTAGAGCAGTTGTTGTAAGTCCCTTGACTTTCGACTTCCAGAAGAATAAAGTATACTCACAAACAGCAGTTCGAAACTCTCCGTATTTGTCACCCCAGATCTCAACTCGTAAAAATTACTGGTTCATAGGAAATACCTCTCAAAGTTAATGGTCAAACTTATGTTCTTCCACCGCATACAACCGCCCACTGTTCTATACCCGCTCTTCACGCGTACCCAAAATACTGGGGTTCTAATCCTCTTGCCTGGAATCCTAGCCGGTTCATCAGCATGTCGTCTACCTCCACACCCACTAAAAGTCCTAACACGCAAGATTTTGACCAGGAAAAAGTCGAAGGGGATACTTCGGATCATTTCATGCCTTTTGCATGGGGTCAACGAGTATGTCCTGGTAAGAAATTTGCACAGGTAGAACTTGTTGCTGTATTAGCTGCGTTGTTCAAAGACTGGAAAGTTGAGGTTGTCCCGAAGGATGGGGAGACATGTGAGCAGGCAAGAGAGAGGGCATGGAAGAGTAGTTTGGTGGTTGATCATGAGAGACATATGTTGCATGAAATGTTTGATCCGAAGAGTGTGGGATTGAAATGGGCTGGGAGATAACGGACACTAGTCTGGTTCATTATTGAAGTTTCAATGGGAAGATGGCTGTGGTTTACAATATGATCGTTGCTAGAGGTATTCATCTTGAGACGATGAATAAAAGCTCTATTTGAGGATGTGTGAAAGACGAGGCATTACCTTTGGACTAGCTGGCTCTGGATTTATCATCAACGATGAGATATTGAATAGCGGACTAATTGGGCTTCATGTACTTTACCATTTAAGTTCTCTTCAAATACTTGAAGAGCGCGATGTGGATGAATATTATGAATATGAAAAAATTACATGGCTCTGGTATAAAAACGTGTATTCATTGCTGCTACCTACACTACCTCTAAAACCCCTCCCTCTTCCATCTCTTCCCCCTCCCACGTTCGTCTCTTCATCTGCAATCACGCCCCCCTAATAGTTCACCCTTCCTCTTCACAGAATGTAGACACAAAGCGAACCTGAAAAGTCCATCGAGCATAGACAATAATCAGGATTTTGAAGCGTTCTTTTCTCTGAGCTATCCATTTCAGTACCTGGGTCTTGTGAAAAAAAGTCCCTACTACAATCCTACCTGAACTCATCCAAGTAAACTTGGATTGGTACAGGTAGGGCTGACAACGGATGCTGTGGTTATATGTAAAGAGAAAAGAAAAGAAGTTGAGCTGAGGTGAAGGATTTTATGGTAGATTAGAATAGAGGTCTGTGCGTTTTGATCGTGATTAGGTAATGTGGTGCCTGGTGCCTGAGGATGAAGGGTGAGATTTTGGGATGGAAGCGACGAGGATTCAAAGGGGCAATTGGATGGACTTATAGATGATCAAATTAGACGAAAGAGAGCTAAGTTTACAGGTTGTGAAAGGTTCTCTGACAGCAATTGCTCATATTGTATTCATCATTACTAATATCCGTATTCCAAACTATATTCCATGTATGATTCATTCAACGCTCACAACACCCCAATAACCCAACCTCCATCTGGGATTGAATCGATGTTATTAACATCCAATTCTTGTCTTCCATTCATCTTACGACGAAAGGAGCTACTAGCAGGATAGACAACTTTTCTCAATCTATTTGGTGATCCAAGAGGTTGAAAACTCTTAAGTCCATGCCATGGATCTAATCTCATATGATCTTCCCAGAACGTCTTTCTAGCGGCTATAAAGCTATCTTGCTTAGGGATCTTGAGAGTGGCGACTGTTTGCCATGGATACTTTTCGGGATCCCAGACCTTACCGGCATATTCCACAGGTTGGTCTTCGAGATTCTCTAGAAGTTGGACTTGGAAGAGATATTCTGCGTCGTGGTTTGTGTGAAACTCTTTGAGCCATTCACTGAGAATATTATCCGGATGGGCATCTGGTTTGACCGTCTCTTCATATAGCTTTTTTTGAGTCTCTGAAGATGGAACTAGGCAGTATTTAACAACATAGTCACCGAATCTATAAGCAGTTTGCGAATACTGTCGTGTTGACTAGTTGTATGTCAGTAATTGGGTTATGTAGGGTGACTAGATAATGTAAAGATATACCTCGAGGTGAGTATTCCGGACTTCATCACGAGCTTTTTGTAATGCCGTATCTTTGCGAGCTTCTAAATGCTTGTATAACTCAGCCTTGTCTCCTCCGTACTTGATTCTAAGATCAATGATTTCTTTTGTCGTCTTTGCATCTGCAAGATCCAATGCAGGAGTACTATTAAATTCGATATCCTGTGTGCTCAACTCTTTCCCATCAAATCTTTCACCATCAACATTGAAAACCTTCATTCCTAGACCTCGGGGTTGTGGAATACGATCGTCGAGAGCTGGATCACCAGGTTCGGTACTATATCGCATGACGATTGGATATGTGTTTGGTCGAGAGAACATGCTTTGCGCAAGATGTGGAGGTAAATCTCCAACAACTAGTTCACCCTTAACTAGTCCTTGAGTTCTTGCATGTGTTCCTTTTGATGATGTTAGTATTTTTATTTCGACCCAAGAGTTAAGAAGTACTACCTCCAAAGCAATGACGATGGGCATTAAATTGAGCTTTTTGTATGGCATTGATCTGGTCTGCAATGGCTTTTATGTCTTCTTGTTCATTGGGAGGGATAACCTCAACTCCTGAAGCATCCCATTTGATATAATTGCGGGATTTCAGTCCCTCTGATTCAATGGAGCCCATGCTGTAAGAAAGTGAGGTTGAAGATTGACTACTAGGAGTATGGATAAGAAGAGATGTTGATATATGCTTGAAGTTTCATAGATCATTTGAGGATACTTTAATGAGCTTTATATACCAAGTGACCATTCGCTTGAATGGCTGAATGGGCGGGGTAGATATTAGAATAGCCCATTCCTTTCAACACCATAATCGTCTTGCATCAATTTGGATAGTTATTTACAGACTAACCTTAGTCGGTGATATAAACATCAAATCAAAGAAGATGATTGGTAATTGGAGAACAATTCTATGACTATAGAATATAGCTCTCCCATCCCCGCATTTGAAGATCTACCACAGGTATAAGAACCGTGATTTAGGTTTGTAGTAGTTATCCTATATGCAAGTATCTCAAATCATTCCGTGGGCCTAGAGACTAATAGACTCGGATGAATGGTATTTTGACTTGTGCCCTTGTTCTTGACATATGTACCTAGGTTTCAATGTGGCACTTGCTTTTGTCTAGACAAATGCCTTCTTTCAATATCATAGTAGCACATTGGCTTTCATCAAACACATACACGGGAACAATAGTAGATGAACATGGTGAATGAGTTGCAATTGATGCGGATGGGGTCTGATCCTCCGTCAATACAAAAACAGGGTTAACATAAAACCGATGGAAATGTATGTACGAATACGGTAACTTCTTCGACCCTAAAGCGTACCATTACGCAGCTCTAAGACTTCGGGCTAAACATATACTGTGCCATAATTGGAGAACACTACCTAGCAATGTTCAAAGGTTCACAGCCTCGACAATAATTCAATTGCGATTTGTCCAAGAGAGAAAGTTTTCTTGTTTATTATCAAATCTGTTCCTATTATCAAATCATGTCAGCCACAGCTCCTACGGATTCTTCTAATGTTACTTCTCCAGGTTCGTTTGCCCTTGTACATCGCTGTTATGGTGGGGAAGCTCACGCTATAAGAACAAACACTGACAAAATAATAGCGAAGAAGAAGAGCAATAAGAAGAAGAAGAATGCCAAATCGAAATCAAATGGAGACATACCCCAAATTCAAGATCAAGTGAACGATCTCACAGTAAACGTAGCAGAAGAAGAAGATGGGAATCCAGAGGATTCCGGGCAGTCAACTGTGGTACGAGTGACACCTGTTCACAACTCACTATATAGCAAACATAAGCGCATTCTGACAAATCTCGACAGAATACTCCAAAGGACGCCCAATTTCCATCAAGCATAGATTCGCAAACGAATGGGCGCAAAATTGACTCCGCGGGTAATGGCCACGCCATTGCGCCAACCCAATCTAGCGCCGGGAAGGAGGAAGGGACCTCGGAAAGCAATGGATCAGATGAATTGGACTCGAGTGCTCGACTGGAAGCAATGACGGCGGAACGTCAGGCATTGCGCGCTGAAGTTGAACAACTACGAAGATCCCTTGAGGATATACAGGGCAAGCACACGGAAGAAGATTCAACAGCCAAGGGCCAATACTCCGAAAATCTATCCTCTGTCGAAGAAAAATACAAAAATGAGATCACCGCACTCAAGAGTCAACATGAGGAGGAAATTTCTACAGTCCGAGCAGAATTGGAGGAGACTGAATCTTCGAGAGAAAACTGGGAATCCCAATATCATACATTACTCACACGCGTCAATACGATCAAAACTACTTTGGGGGAACGATTGAAGGCAGATAAAGAGGAATTGGCGGAGGCCAATGAGAAAATCGAAGACTTGGAATCACAAGTGGAATCATTTCAAAGTACTATTCAAGGATTGGAGGACGAGGTATCCAAATTACGAAATGAATTGAACGAATCGTCCAAAGAAGTTTCAAGCATGCGGAATCGTAATAATTTATCACAACAGAATTGGGTCCATGAAAGGGAAGATTTGCTTCAACAAGCTAAACATCTCAAAGAGGAAGCCGATGCTGCAAAAGAAGCCATGGGGGATTGGGAAGTTTTGGCTATGGAAGAGAGATCTATACGAGAGAACCTGGAGAGTAGAGTTTCTGATATGGAAGAACAATTTTCTGCTCAAAAAGAAGCATACGAAACCACGGTCGCCGAACGTGATAGCCATTCTCAAGCGGTCGATGGATTACAACGAGCTTTGCAGGAAATTCAAGAGACTCGAAGACGAGAACTTCGAGAGATGGTCGAAAGTTATGATGAGCAACTTCAATCCTTGAAAAAGATCGTTCAGGAGTCGGATTCTAGATGCGTGGAGGCTGAAACTTCGAAAGAAGCTCTCCAAACGGAATTGAATCGACTTCTACCATTCGAAAAGGAAGTCAAGGAAAAGAATTTGTTGATCGGCAAACTTCGTCATGAAGCCATTGTTATTAATGATCACCTCACGAAAGCATTGAGATTTATTAAAAAGTCGAAGGTAGAGGACAATGTTGATAGGTATGTTACACCCCCACATCACGAATTCGAATTTGGAACTAATAAAATGTAGACAAGTTGTCACGAACCACTTTTTACATTTCCTCTCATTGGATCGTTCGGATCCGAAGAAATTTCAAGTACTACAAGTCATTGCTTCATTATTGAACTGGACAGATGAACAAAAAGAACAAGCCGGTTTAGCAAGGCCAGGTGCTTCGAGTAATAGCTTACGCTTACCGATGTCACCCTTTCACCGAACACCAAGCACACCATCATTATCCACAGAATTCTTTACCGAGCCCTCAAACTCTCAAAAGGAATCTCTATCAGAACTTTGGACAGGATTTCTAGAGAAGAGCGCCGAAGAAGGAAGTGTTAAAGATAGTAGAAGTGAAAGCGTGAGTAGCTCAGCTACTCTCGCAACAAAATAGGATCCCGGGAAGGTAGGGGCTTTGTAATTTGTGAAATAGATTGAGGTGTATATTAGCTACATTGCGAGGGCGTTTCACTGGGTGTGATAATGGGTGTTGTCATGGTTTTTCATGCCTTCTGTTTATTGTGCTACGAGGTTCTTTTTCATGGCGTTGCTCATGGAATCTTTATCTTATTTCGTTTTGGCAAGTAACACTTCATATCATATAGGGTCTTGGTGGGCTTGTTAGCACCAAAAGATTTTGTGTGCGAGAGAAATTTTAATATTGGGTTTCTTGATTGCGTTACTCGTATATGAGATTTATATCTTGTTCTAGTGATGTATACTTTGTAGTGGGATGATGATCAGCCCTCTCACGAAGGGGTTGGAGGCATATGAATTGGTACATCGGGATCAGTATCATTTTCAGCGATATCTAGCCATTTCTCTCGGGGAGCGAAGGGAGGAATCTTCAGGATACGATCGAGCATTAAATTGCACTAGCGTCACGGATTTGACTCCGGCTCTTCAAATTGTCTGTTGTAAGGGGGGTAAACTGCTGATTTTGAATCGAAAGGGGGGTATGTAGTAAGTGGAGTCTGAAAATAGACGAGCTTCTGGATTATAACTTATGCTCATGACATCTAGCTTCTCCGCACTGAAGAGGGGTTTCCGACCAAGAAATTGTATTGATAAAAATCCAAACTATACAAATATTGAGGATGTATCGGCGTGTACAAAAAACACCATAAAATTACATAACCACCTTCCCTACACCTCCAAGAACAGCCTCCGCAAAGGCATCCGCATCCCTCTGTACCGCAACCAGATCAACTCTCCCCTTCAATGCGTTTCTAACACCGTCCACTACCTCCCTAGTCTCTAACACCTCTGACATAACATTCGCTTCTCTCACCCAATATTCGTTTACTTTCCCCCTCAGATCTTTATCTCTCACCGTCGTGTTACGCATTAATGCTACCCCATTTAATTTCCCTCTCGCCTGGTCTATAATTCTCGTTGCAGCTTCTATTTTTTCCGCTGTCGTAGGTGAAGTGAGGAATGCTCGGTTTGTAGAAGATAAATAGAGAAGCCAACCGACGAGCCCATCTAATGCTGCTAATGCTATATTGCGATAAAGTTGCATATTCCAGTAAAAGTGATCGATTTCCTCAAGTCTCAGCGCAGTGGCATTATTCGTATGTTTGTATTGTGTGACGAAATAGATATCGAGGATGGCGATTGCGCCAGCGAGAGTGGTAGCCTTTCCGCGCCAGATGTTTGCTTCTTTGCCAATAAAGAGGGTACTGGTAGCGAGAGCCAGAACGCAGAGATTAAAAAGATGTGGTATGACGATACTCACGAGCGAGTAGAGTAGGTAAGATGGAGGATCTTCAGGGTTGCAGAAGAGACAGTTTATCATGGTATCTGGACCGTATTTTAGATACAAGAGTCGTGACTCTTTACTTGTAAATGCATTTTTGAGGATTTCGTCGGTGGGAGTAAGACCGGTGGGGCGTAAGGTCTGGAGACGGGTAAAGAGGACATCGGTTGGAATTTGTAGACGAGACTGGGTGAGTGTGAAGAGCGAGGGGGTGGTAAAAGTAGGGAAGGTTTTGATGAGGAAAGCGAGAGAGGTTATGAAGAGAATCGTGAGCGCGCGAGATACATTTGGAGGAACGGATCGAACTGTAAGACCGTGGGCTTGAGGAGCTGCGCGTTGCGATCGATAGTAACCGATTGCTTTGGGTAGAATCAATGGTCCGAAGAATATTACGATGGACTTGATACTGTGGATGAGTTAGTTTGTGAATCTGTGAGTCTGCTGGTCTGCGAATTGCAGGCCCACGACAATATAAATGAGAGACAAGAGGCGAGAATAGTACATACGTCCCAAACGATATTCCCACCATAATATATGTGCGAAGCTCAACTTGTCAACAGTATCATAGATTTGGCAGTTTGAATCGATTTCTTCAGAACACGTTCGCGATAAGACAATCAAAGGTATTCTGCCATGAAACAATGATAAAGGCGGTGGCTGCATATAGTTAGTGTGTCTTTAGCGCTTCCATTAGTGTGGGGTCTCAAAATAATTCCGCATAAATAAATTCTTGAAATTTTCATTTTCTGAATCTTAACAATCAATCACAAATCAGCCAAACTCAAGCATAAGCTGTTTGGAATATGAGCAACGTATTTGCGCATGAGAATATGATTCTGTTCTCTTGTATGCGCTCACTTTTTTCGAATTGCAATGTCTCTTCTTGAAATGCTTAGGTATAGTATTAATTTGATGCACATGTAGTGGCACTTTCGAAGCTTTGGCGACCTATTTCTCAATGGTCTCTCACAGTCAAAAAGTATGCCCAGATTAAGCCCCAAGTACTCTGCCAAGAGTCATCTCACTCGTGTTGCATGATCTCAGCGTTAGCTATGAGGATCTTTGCGTCTTAATTGTTGAGAGACATTCTGTTTATCATATTCTCGTGTTTCGTAAAAATGTAGAAATATTCGTACAACATTGCGTTCGTAAAGATATATACACGTATCAAGAGCTGGAACCCTCACAACTCTTTCTTGCCAGGCTTCTCTGCACCTTGGCCGCCAGCCTTCATGGGCTCCTCCATCTTCTTCGCCTTTGCACCAGTTTGTGTTCCCAAAACTAACGCGACCACTGCAACCAAAGCATCACTGACCAACAAAATCACAGCTGCGCATGCAAGTGTCCATGCTTGTATACTGATGCTTCCCAGTGGTGCTCTGGGGAAACTCAACAACCACTCCGCGTAATAAGGGAACCATCCTTTGGGCAACCAGAACATGGCTTGCTTTGAGAACCAGAATTGTAACAACATTCGTAGACCATTCGTGCCCAACCAGCGGAGTGTAGAAACCGAGGAATCAAAAGTAGATTTGGTGGAATCGAGAGAGGATTCTGTGGGCGATGTTAGATTTGAGCTACTTGTTGAAGTTTGTAGGTATATAAAGACGTACTGGATTTCTCCAACTGGTCAAATAACTTGTCATGCTGTCTGCGCAATTTCGCCCATTTGGCAAATTCATCTTGACTACTCGTAGCATTCATTTCATGACGAACTTTCATGAATTCTCGCTTCAATTTCTTTTGCTCGCCCGCGGACTGCGATGTTGGTGTTGGGAACATATTGTAGAGATTCCATAGCTAGGATTTGTTAGATGATTTTGTGAGAGGAGGATTGAATTGTAAGGGAACTTGGTAAGGATAAATATTAAGGATTGGAGAGCTTACTATATTATTGATCGCATCTGCACCAAAAGTATTGACGAGGTGGATGAGTAACTGGACAAGAAAACATGTAAAGAGAAGAGACGGCATGTTTCCAAAGTTATGTAGTCGAAACCGACTGCTCCTTTCTTCGAAAGCTTCCCGAAAATGTAGTTGTCGGAACTGTGTCGTGTCCGTCCGGTGGTGGGCTGTTATACTCGACTCATTGTAATTTGTACGGAAGCTTCAGAAGCTCGGACCATGTTGAGGTCATCACGAGAATGGAAACTATTTCTGGAACCACCAGAGTACCTTCTCCACGACAGTGAACGAGCATTCCTTTTGGATGTCATAATCTTCAAGTCCATTCAACCAATAGATTGTGTGAGCCAGATGAGTGTTATTTGAATGACTTCACACATTTACCGCCACCCCAGCGTTCAACATCATGTCACGAGCACTGGATAAAGATACTATTGCATCTTTAAATGCTAGCGATTTTCAAAAAGTCTACGACGATATCGTGAAAGTATTTGATCCTTATTTTTCTCTCGGACACGAACTGATAGACTTTGAGCTTCTTGGGAAAGGCCAATTACCGGAGAATGACAATACGGTAGTCCTCGAGAACAGTGTTGGTATACCTAAAATCAAACTCATCCAAGCATTTGTTATTGCACGGAAAGTGTTCTTCAACTTTAAAGATTTGGGCCCCAATTATTCAAAGGAAATTCGGGATGCTACTTCGATCATTCTTCTCACAGATCCGGAACATTTAACCGCGTGTAACGCTCGAAAAAGACTTGTACAAAGTATTCGAAAGAAGACTATATTTGAGCTGGGATTGGAGGTAAAGAGCGAGTTACGTTTTGTTGACAGTCTCTTGACGTCCCACCTCAATCGTCATACGAAGTCACCGACGCTATGGAGCCATAGGAGATGGCTTCTTGAGTTTCGTCAATCCAAGGATCTGCCTCTGGATGTATCTAGGGACCTTACATCAGTTGTTATGGTGGCAGCTGAGAGGCATCCTCGGAATTACTACGCATGGTCTCACATGAGGTGGTTGATGGAATCGGTGGAAGGTGATGAAACGACCTACCTCACAATAATATATAATGTAAAGAAATGGTGTTTGGGGCATCCAGGAGATATCTCAGGGTGGTCTTTCCTATTATCCTGTCTATCTTCTCCTACCTTTTTAACGGCGACGTCTCCGATTGACCGAAAATCCTTGATATGTGAAGAAGTTCTTGGAATGGCAATTTCATTGAAGTGGAAAGAGGAGTCTTTATGGGTGTTTCTTAGGACTTTGGCGGCATCTGGAAACGTAACAGATAAGTGTAGATTCGCATTTTTACAGACCTTGGAAGATTTCAAAGAGTCCTCGGATGATGCTAAAGATCAACGAATAAGTCAATCTGCGCATGAATGGTATCTGGAATATGGGCAAAACATGCCGCCTCATTCTATCAAGACATAACGTTTCAAGAATTCAGTGTAAGACATCTTAATGCAATGTGCCTCTTTACCAGCCGTTTGTCCACCCAAATCAAACCCGTACGGAGATTTCTCAATGTTCGGTTAGATCTCAGACCTTCTAGTCGAGTAGAAGGATAGAAAGGTGATTGACTATTTATGATTGTTGTTTTGTTAGAAACAACTTAACACCAAAGAACCCATATTGGAAGACGTCGAGAATTTCCCAACAATTGAGACCGTTAACATACTCATCAAAATATTCCAAAATAGGGGCCCCTGCATCGAAACATTTCTGGGGGATTCACAGCGCCACCAAGATCCGAACGGACTGGTTTGCGCCACGGGTGCAACACGAACATGGCTTTTTGCAGTAGCGACATCTAATTCGGCTGGTTTCTGCCAACATACGAAAAAGAAATATTGATATGACAAGGAGTCAAGACAATTGCGTGGCCAAGAAAGGAACGTCTTTTTCGCTCACGGTAAGGCCCGTAGAGGCTCGAGAGAGGGTCATGATTACAATCGAAGTAGTCTCGTAGTGACTCGTGAGAGATCAGAGTCTATGTTTCAGAGTTCAGACGGTTCGTTAATTGAAAAAGGTATATCACCAACTAAAAAGTTAGAACAGTCTCGAATCTCGAGTGGCATCTCAAGATTTCCATGGGTCTTCTCTCAGATACTTAATGTGGCGTTCAGCACAGACAGCGAAGTCGTCGTAATTTAGAAAAATCCCATTGTTCAGGAAATTGTGATTGGCTTAATGGAATTGACTTTTATGTATTAGTATCCAAAATTGGCTATAGAGTTGCATTGAAATGACTAACCTAGATACCTGGTGGTGGGAGATGTGTTTTTGGCTGTATTTAGCAATACGTAAACGCAAAAAGCGCCAATGCCTAGGTAGGTAGGGAGGGAGGTGGGCATGTACTTTGGTAAATATCAACAATCAAAACTCTGTCTAGAATGTGCATTCTTATCGCATCGACCTCCTATCCCACTCATTCGATTCACCCACTTCATTCTTTCCCGAGCTGTAACATCCAAGAGTGATTATGAGCCAGTTAGTTCTCTTTCCCCCTCATTTTGAAGAGGACTAATCGCTGATGATGACGATATCATACATACTTAGGTCTGTATATCAACAACATGGGACGATATCTGGGTGGCTCGGTGGGTTGAAGTGGATTGATTCAGCCGAGGCCCTAGACTGTCAATGCAGTTTTGAAGGCCACAGATGCGGTTGGCAACCACTCACAATAAAGTATGTCCTTAGCTTCTGAGTATCTCAGTCTCTTGAGCAAGTAGATCTTTGACCCCTGATTAAAAGAAAGATTAAAAAGAGACCAAAAGCGTGCAAAGGGGAGGAAAGCACATGAAAGGGTCTTGGATCAGTTAAATGCTGGAACTAATCGGAGCAGCAGAGATTAATGATCGCCAAATCAATAAATAAGCTTAACCTAATTGGACTTTAGCCTCCAGTTTCCCACCAGGAACAGACGCTAGTAAGAGTAGCAAGAGCTCCCTCCACATTGATTCATTTTTGATGCAACCTTTGGATTTTTAAATATGCAATTCCTGGTGCTCAAGAGCAATCAAGTAACAAATCAAAAGAGCAAATCAAGCAAGCCAAGGCCAAGCAATGCAACCTCTTCTTTCCTACTTTCATACTTCACACTTCCTTTTTAAACTCTCTCCTCCCCTCCCCTACCTCTCTCTATATCTACATATCCCTCCTCCTTATCTCACTACATCCCGAGTATCTTCATAATTCCGGGCTTTCCTTTTGGTGTTTCATAGGATTGGATCATATTCAACTTCTTTGGAGGGGACATCTTTTTTTCTTATCTTCAAGCTGCCATACGGATCTCACAATTGGCATTCACGACTTTTGTCTCATTTTCTTCTTCTACACTTCCGTACATATTCAAATCGTAGCAAGCACAGTTGACGGCTTCACTGTCTTTGACCAGCTTGGCATTTTTAATCTTTTACATCTATTATCACACGGCAATCATAATATCTAATATCAAACAAAATTCCATCGGGTCCGGTACTCCCAGTCAGGCTCATCTCGAATTCACAATTCACCCATCGGTGGATGATACGATTCAAATCATTTGATCGTACCAAAGAGACAATACCTGATTCAAATTCCCCCTCGAGGACACCCTCTTTTTCTTCACCAAATATTCACGGTCTAGATCTCCTGGCATTCAGATCTACCACCTTCAATTGATTACATACCTCGTTGGAAATTCACCTTCACAAAATACCCAATTTCTCAAAGTTCTGCATTACATTCGGCATTCATCACTTGAGAGTTCGACTTGTGTGCCTGGCCCTTGGCTGACTTCGAGACCCCACTTCCTGGAGATACTTTATTCTATCACCAATCATGTGGTCCTTCAACTTCGTCTTGCTCGCATTATTTGCACTCTTCCAATTTTCCACGGCATTTTACCCTTTTGTCCCAGAATGGAGGCACCAATCATACAAGTCCCTCCCAGATACATCCAAGAGGAGCGGGAAAAGTCGTGAAAATAATGCTGTTCTCAAGCTTGTCCAAAAGCTCCCATCTGTAAGTTGAAGGTGGTTCGATTTGATTCGCTTTTGCTAACTCATTATAAGGCCAATAAACCCAGAGATGTTCAGATTCGCGAGCTGACAGATCGACTTATTCGCAAATACAACCCTGGAATGGGACTCAAAGCTACTAAAGTCGAAGAGCGTGAATCCAATCTTGTGAAATATGACGATACATCATTATCGATTCAGACTGCGGCAAATCCTTCACAGACAAACAGCGCGGGAATCCTGCAGACCGGAACTGACTTTTCATATTTTGCTCAGGTGGAACTAGGGAGCAAGAATGATCCTTTGTTGATGTTGCTCGATACAGGGGCTGGAACAAGTTGGGTTATGGGTCCCGATTGTGCCTCTAGTGCATGCAAGACTCGTGCTTCCTTCGGTGCAGCAGACTCTTCGACTTATAAAGCGGTCAATATGGATTTGGATATTGCGTACGGATCCGGCCATGTTACTGGAACATATGCTACCGACACAATCAATTTTGCTGGCATGAGTCTTCCTTTAACTCTAGGAATTGCCAATAAAACTAGTGATCAGTTCAACTCTTTCCCATTCTCCGGCATCCTAGGCTTATCCCAACAAACTGGTCCGGTTCCCAATTTCTTACAGACCATTGTTAGCTCGAAGTCTCTCAAGGCCAATGTATTCGGAATGGACTTGAACCGTGCTTCGGATGGCACAAATACTGGAGAGATTAACTTTGGTGCTCCGGATACTTCACGATACAGTGGTGATTTAAGTTATACAAGTGTTGCAAAAAACGGTCCAAATCATTGGGCACTTGCTCTTGATAACGTGGGAGTTGGCAATGCTCAACTTAGTACTACCGGGAGGTTGGGCTACCTCGATAGTGGAACGTCTTATATTTTTGGACAACCAACAGATGTGATAGCATTTCATGCACTTGTACCCGATGCTGTTACCACAGACAATAACACATGGACAGTGCCATGTTCTACCACCACATCTATCTCCTTTACATTCTCTGGAGTTACATATAATGTTTCGTCTGTAGATTGGGTAGGGCCTTCGGTGGATGGGGTGTGTACAAGTAATGTCTATGCTGTGGCTGTGGTTGACACAAACTCGTGGTTAATTGGCGATACTTTCTTCAAGAACGTATATGCCTTGTTTGACGTTGATCAAGATCGTGTCGGTAAGTTTATTCTATGCCTCAATTTTTGCTACATGTACTAATAATTTCAGGTTTGGCGCAGAAGAAAGCTGTTACATCCTCGGCAACATCAACGTCTTCTTCTGGTGGGCTTACCTCTACTCTTACTCCTTCCCTTACTACACAAGACCCCGTAGATAGAACTAGCACTTCCATTGTCGATTCTACTAGCGTCGTTCTTTCTGGCTCTGGATCCACAGTAACCACTTCTACTTCTGAATCTCTATCTAACACACGTTCCGTAGTTTCTGCTGTTCAAACAGGAACCTTGAATCCTTTACTCCCGGAAGCATCAGCCTCAGCTAGCGCTCAGTCTCCTGGAACAACTGTGTCGGCGTCATCATCTGTGACTGCTACTGCCACTCAAACTTCTAGTGGAAACCAGATCAATAGCTACTTTTCTTCGATGACTGCTTTGGTTGTCATTGCAACAACTCTTCTTTTCTAGTTAAAAAATGATACCCAAGTCTTTCCAAAAATATAAAGAAATTAATCCGGAGCACTTGATTTTACATTTCCTGTGAGAAATTGGACAGCATAGTACGGCATAGCATAGCATAGCACATGGAGCATGGGTCTGCAATTATGGTACTACAATGACTGGATTGAATAAGTCAATTTTACATAGAGAGATCTCAAAATGAACAAGATTTCTTCCGGGTATGCTGATCATGATGAAATCTGTATGATTTGTTTGCGAGTGAAGTGTGTACTACACGTCGATACCCAGGTATGTTCTGAATTTTTTTTCCGATGCTTTTGTCAAAGGGCGAGTATGTCACATGCCAAGTGGAAAAAAGCATGGCTTCAATAGGAAGACGCTAAAAGAAAGTTCATGAATGTGGAAGTAAGAACGGGAGGATTGGCCTCTGTGGTCTAAAGATCACGGTCTGATAATCCTGAAGAAGCCGACTATTAATCGAAAGTGAGAATGCAAAATCAATCTTGGAATTAAGGAATTGTGTAATTTAGATATGGGTGTGGAGTGTTTCTTGGTTGTTGTTCCATAATTCATCACATCTCTCAAGTCATTCCTTAATCGTCTTGAGTGAGATTCTTTTGTTTCTTTTTGTTTTGAGGTTTGAGTTTAGTTTAGTTTGGCTGTCTCGCTGGTGTGGTATCTATTCATCTGTCTTGATTTCAAGGGTGTGTTGTAGATAGGTGGATATCTGTTGAATGGAATGATGGAATGTAGGTTCTTTGTGGTGATGTCTGGGTATTTGAGGAAGGTGTGGTACATACTGAGGTGTTGGTTTGGATGGGGTGGGTGAGTAGGTATTACTCATAAGATTGATCGCTCTTTGTGATATGGTTCGTTGAGCTGGAATGATTAGAACTAATGGTCAAGTCACTGGTGTTCATGATTATGACGCATTATATGGGTTGGTAGATGTGAGTGGAGGTGGAAGTGGATATTTAGCGCGGTGTCTGTACTTATGTTGTGTGTTTCTTGTCTTTTGATACATACATTAATTCTTTTGTGTTTTGATGTTGATGCTGATGTTAATATTGAGAACCATACAAAACAGTTCTGAGAAACAAACTAAGCTTGCGAAATCGTTGGGTGGGCTTGCTTCGCATCTCTTGCATTTTTTCTCGCAAATTTTCTACGCTTTCCATCACTTTGCGTTACCTCACTTCTCCGGGCTTTATTTCACTTCGATTCAGAATATATCGCGGCGCATGGTATCGCATCCTGTCTTGTCACCTCTTATTGCAATATTTGTTGTTTTGGAAAGAAGAAAGTGTAGACTACTTCCATCCCGCAAAACCTCGGAATTTAGTCTCACGGTCGGCAGTCTCGAATTCAACAATATACCTTTACATTTGATACCAATAATACATCCTTACATTCAACAACATTACCGGCTTACAAAATATAGCCATGTCGATAAGATCTGCAGCTGGCAGTCGAGCTGATAGTCGAGCTGGTAGGAGACCTATCTCGGTCTTCCATGCAGTCGCGCCTAGCTCACCTAGTTCTGGATCCTATTTTTCGTCAATATCTAGGCCTGAATTAATTTTACCCAGGACAACTTATGCCGAACCGTATGATGATGATTTGGAATCGTATGGTTCCAGATCATCCGACAGTGGCAGTGAAATTAGGGAGGAACACGACTCTACTAGCCCTCGTACATCTACTCACCATCAACCGCATGATGTATTTGATGAGGTACGTTCACATATGCGGCGTCTGGAAGAGGATGTAGCACATACACGTCAAGTGTGGAGTGATGGAGAAATTAATCCTTCTGATATGCTGTCGACGATTGCAAACTACAGGCGGGGATTAGATATGGTTGCCACTCCAGATGCAGGTAGGGATCCTTCGTTGAAGCTTAGAATTGATGAGGTAGATGACACGTTGGAAGAATTGGAGGCGGAGGCAAATGTTCGGAAGATGCGAGAGCAAGAAGGACTCGAGACGGCGAGGAAAGAGGCAGAGAGAAGAGAGAATGAGATGAGAGAAGAATCGGAAAGGCACCAATATTTTATGCGAGATAAAGGTGCGAAGGAAAGAATCAGAAACGAGAAGGAGGCAAAGAAGAGGGAAAAGGCTGAAGAGGAGAAGCAGAAAAGGATTATAAAGGAAAATAAGAGAAAAGAACAGAATACTAGGTCTGCAGCGGCTTTTAAGGAAAGGGAGAGGTTGGCGAAAGAAGAAAAGAAGAGGAAGGAAGAGCAGCGAATTCAAGAGGAAAAGAAAGCATATGAGAAAAGATCAAGCAGAGAGAAGGCGGCAAGAAATCGAGATCTTCAACGGAGGGATATTGAGAAAAAAACAAGAGAAGCAGAGGAAGAGGCAAGGTATCAAAAGAAGGTTACAGAGGAAGAGAAGAGGTATGTGGCGAAAAAGAATCATCAAACAAAGGCGAAAGTAGCATTAGGTGGTAGGGAAGAAGAGAGCAGGAAGAGAGAGAGAGAAAGGGCAGAGGCGTTTGCTAAGAAGGTAGTGGATGATCGGAATCAGAAATTGAAAAGGGAGTTGAAGAAGTTGGAAGATAAGATATGTGATGTTGAGGAGAAGTTGGGTTATGTTCATGATGATTGATAGGAGGGAGATTGGGGAGGGAGGGGGGGATGAATGTAAGTGGTATTTTGGGGATTATTGGTGTGCATTTGCGGGATGGGGGTTTGTTTTAGGACTAGATTAGGTTTTTGAGGGAACTTTCTTTGGGGTCGATTTTGGGTATTCGTTGGATTGGTCTATCTTTGGTTTTGTGAGGGTTTAGTGATAGTATGGGTATGAGTATGATGCTCATGGCGGAGGAAAGTCAATAACAAGCGTGATTTTTAGATTGAACATACTTCTTCAATTTTAAGGAGGTGATGATTTCACAACTTTCGCTTGTTTGATATACATGTGATTTCTTGACATATTCATGGTACCGGATTTGGATATCTATGATGGTGCCAGAGTCTTTCTTATATCTGCTTTATGCATAATAATATGATGAGATTTAACAAATTGAGGTTGCAGTGCCAATACTTAATGGGAACTGAGGGTTTCTTTATATATGAGTGTTACACATTTGACAAATTGTTATTGCGATCATAGCTTGGAAGCACTTGATGTGACTCAAATATCTCTAACATGACTCCGTTGCAACATCTCGTGGTATAAATAGACTTGAATGATACTAGTCAATAAGTGACACATTTCTTCAGTCAAAAACAGAAGAAACATCCCTCTTCTCATCTATCCTGAATTTTCAAACCATCAAAGGTATAATAAATTCTAATCAAGATTTCTCAGATATAATGAGACATCAGTTCAGAAAAATTTAATACATATATCGTTACTTCTGTGTTGTCCTGTTTGCATCACTTATGATTGTCCTTGATAATTTAATATGCTGAACAGTTGTCAAGAGATTTTTTACTCGTGGATTGCATACACTCTGAGATATCTCATTCACTGTATACTCGTTGTATTTTTTTTCTCAAGTGAGTGATATCCCAGTGATTCGTGAGGAGATTACTTGAGTTATAGTTTACCATTCCCTTTTTTCCCTAGATGACTTCAACATCATATATTCAAAGCGCCACACATAATACCAAAGAAGAGATAGAAATTTATACTGCAAATAGAGCATGGTGGCTATAGGATCTCAGCACATAGAGATAACCTTGCCTACAACGTTGATACTTCTCTGAAACCTCGAGTGAGCTCACAACTGCGGATTTTCTTGCAGACAATGCGTTACAATACATTTATCTTCACGGAGTCTCCGAAATACGGTATAGCATCGAGACGTATATATCATATGAGAAGACAGAGGAGTTGCTTAATTCCTCGGGTAGGATGGACTTTGCTGCTTTCGAGTTTAAGGTTGTAGTGACGGCGCGAGAATTTGATTCGCTCGCTTAAAGCGCTGAGCTGGTGGTTTTTCCACGATGGTTGTTGAGGGCTAAGGCCCTGGAAATGAACAATCTGCTGACTTGATATACTCCGAAACCCTATCTCTGGTACAAGACTTGTCCAACTCGAGTCTCTAATCTTGATGTATGATATTGTGATGGTCACAAGTTTGAAGATGGTGTGGGTAATATTGATGTTTTGCTGTTATTCCTATAGGAACGGAGATGCTGAATACAACAAATGACTTTCACTACCCACCAAACCTAATCAATTGCATGTATATCTCTATCTCTCCAAAACTACGCATCCAATTTCCCACTCCAAACCCTCAATCCTCAATCCCTAACCTCCAAAATTAAACCCTACCAAACCTCCCGCACCGTCTCAAAAACCTCTCAACCTCCAACATCGTCACTCCCATACTCCTCCCACAAATTTCGTCTTAGTTCATTTATTATTCCCTCATCTACACCATGCTCCCGTGTTGTATATTCTAGAATCCGATCCCGATATTGGTTTAGAATTGAATAGTGATATTGGATCAATACCCCGACGCGACTCATTTCATTCATATTTTGGGGTTGTTGGGTGCTGGTCCAGAGGGTGCGGAGTTGTTTGCTGCTGTAGATGTTGGAGTCGTAGGAGTGGTGGAAGATGGGGAAGGGTTGAATTGTGCGGGAGAGAGAAGTGGATGGAATATGAGTGGTGGGGGATGGGAGAAGGGGATCATTTTGTTTTCTTTTGGTGAAGGTGCTTGGATTTGTTGGTTGATTGGATTGTGTATTTCTGGTAGTAGATTAATATTGCATTAAGACTTGAGATTAAAGACAGAGGGGCTAGAAGGCATGTTTATAGAGTGTTGGATATATTTTTGATTCTTGTAGCTGCATTGTGAATGAACATTTACGGGGTATTGAGATCTAGAATGGTTAATACTAGAGAAAATTCAAAGTAACAAAGCGACTCTCGGATGATGAATCTACTTCACAACATAATAGATTCACAATTCAAATACTTTCTCGCTGAATCCATTTTCATGATTCCATAACGTTGTCTCTTAGTAGAGAACAATATCAAAGTACAAAAATCACACTATCAATCTTCATACTTATGACTCCATCTATATATATGACCCAACACTTCAATCCACTTCCCAAAATATCTTTAACAGAAGCCCGTCACCCCCAAAGAATAATAGTTTTACCTCTCAAATACCCCACACCCACGAGTTTCCCACGAGTTCTCCACGCGAGCTCCCCCTTTTACCACATGGCACGCTTAAAATCCCTCAAAAATTCTCCATACACCACATGGAAACCTACATTTTCAACGAGATATGTTTTCAATTATTTCTCCATACTATCATGACTTCAAGATATGTGATAGATATAGCAGTCATCGAAGGGGGATAGCTATGTCTAAAAGGCATAAATAGTTTCTGTTAACCCCTCTGGAGAGACATTTCTTTTGAAGTATCGATATCAAACATCTAGATCTACAAGTCCAAAACGAATCAACACCAAACAAAACCTCTCAGTTCAAAGCTCACTTTGTCAATTCCTTCAACCTTCTCCTCGAACACCTCAGCATACAAGTCTATCCCGAATAGCCATCACCAAACACTCCGAATCTTCCAATTCTACTCAAAACTCATTCTCAATCATCCACCGAGATCCCCAAACCATCCGCCAAAATGCCCAGTTTTGACAATTCCTCCTCCGAAACCTACGATGCAGTCTCTCAAATCCCCATCCCCGAGATGAACCACGACCAATGCGACGCCGAAAAACTCCGAATCGTGAATCGCATCGAACATCTCCAACAAGTACACGCTGCAAACATTAACTCTGGGATGGATCACCGCAGCGACGCAATCCGAGAATTGGAGCAAAGAATCGCAAATCTCCGCTTTCGATTCCACGAGGTCGATAACCAAATGAGAGCGTTGGATGCGCGGGACCGGGCTGTCGTTGCCCAGAATACGGGTTATGGTTCTATCAGTAGAGATAGATCGTCGCAGTCGCCACCGGCCCCTAGGGCTCCTAATACTTCACCTCAACGCTAAGCTCCTCTTTTCTACTGCATCTGACTGTTCCCCCAGACAGCATGGTAGAAGTATCCGCACCACCACTCCTTCAAACCTCAGCACACTCTTACCATCTCAATATTTCCCTCTCAACATTTCTATCTTCGCTGTATCCTTTCAGTTCTCCTTTGGACACGGCGTTAAGAGACCGTTTCTTCTTTTCAATTTTGGATACCCTCGGTTAGACTACTCGTTTGCGTTGGACTTCTTTTCCTTCCTTTTACAATCTCTTCCTGTCTCATTTCAACTGGACTCTTTAGATTAATCAAGCATTTTGGACATTACATATCGTTGGATTTCTTTTCCTTTCTCTCTCTTTCTCTCGAATATCTTGAATCAATCAGGTATTTCGAACCGTCTTTACCATCAAACTTTTTTCTTTTCTTTTCTTTTCTTTTCCTTCCTACTTCCCTTTCTTTCTTTGACTGCAACACTCACCTGTACACACGCGTTGGATTTCACTCCCGCCCTCAAGAAGAAAGACACGCTAGATAGATAGATAGATAGATAGATAGATAGATAGATAGATAGATAGATAGATAGATAGATAGATAGATAGATAGATAAATAGACACAATCCATACACATAGACAAACAAACATAATAAATAATCATCCCCCCCCCCCCAAAACCCATCTCACCAACTTTCCCTTGCCAATCTGACTGACTCAATCACTTACTTAATCAACTAAATCAAATCACCTCTCATTAATACATTCTCCATCTCTCTAATCCACTCCATCCCATCCATCCATCCATCCATACATACACACAACATCACCCAAGCACAAAACAAAGAAGAATTCCTACCCCACACGCCTAGCCCCCAAAAATACGCGAGCTAAAAAGGGGTTATTCTAAATCCATTCACATTCACATTCAGCATTTAATATTTCACATGCCGCACATCTTCAGTTCGGAGATTTTCCATCCACAAACCCTGATTTTCTATTACATCTCATATATACCCCATCACAACTTTAGTTCACCAATCGGTCTCCACAAGGAACCATTACCTCAACTCAACTCAACTCATGCCACTGCCTTATATCTAATATTTCGTATCTTGAAAGTGTATTCTATTCCTACGTAAATCCTGTGTTCTTTCGCTGATACACATTCTATACGAACTAGTAAGAGTCATCCTCTATACGTTCATGAGTGCAAACTCCGCTTTAGAACCATCCCGATTTCAACCATTTCTTCGCGTTTATAACCATAATAATCGGTTAACAGCGCAATCATTTATTCCTTCCTTAATCTTTCCTTCATTCTTTATATGGATTTCCTCTCCAAGTTCCTTTCCCAAACTCAATACGCCTTTCCAAATAGGCAGAATTACAACATAAAAGATAACACCAATTTATGCCCATTGTGTATTGCAATTCTCCTTTTCCCAACGCTTCGTGTCATGTTGACAATTATGCAGTGACACTATGCTGAAAGATCCATCGGATCTTTTGAAGCTGCATCCGCCGCAGCCGCAGCAGCAGTAGCTCGCTCGGCTCTTTTCCTTTCCTTGATCTCCTCTTTCCAGAGCCTAATCTTTTCCGCCAATTCCGGAACTGGAATTACATCCTCAATCTTCAATGGATCACGATTATATGGATCTCTTTGATCACCCAACAATAAAGCACTGATAGTACCCCTATCTACAACCTCTTTGCTTGTAGGTAACATGACTGGATCTTCCATGAGATCTGCGGAAATAGGATCCAAGAATTCATCTGGTATTTCACCCAAGTCTTGTTCATCTTGATCCTCAATCTCTTTGGCAATCTTGAATCGAGTCTTCAGACGTTCCCAGGCATTGAGATCTTCCGCTGATTTCAGTCCGTAACGTGTCAAAATTCGGGAAGCGCTATCGAAATTCTCGGGTTTATATGAGCGGCCATCTCTAGCCACGGCTTCCACGAATGGTTCATGAACCCCGAGATTGATGTAAATTTCCACAAAATCGCTAAGGAAAGCCCTTGGTCTGAACTGGTACTTTTCCAGGTTCTCAACCTTCAAGTTAGTTGATTTGCTTCCAGTGATGGTATCAAGTGTATAGTTCAGCATTGCTGCTACACGATTAACAATTTCCTTCATGGTAAAGGAGGCACTCAAGGTAGAAGAGAACAACTTCATCATAGCAAGGGTCTCATTGGTCAATTGCATGTAGGATTGCGCTTGACCTTCCGCCTCGCGTAATGCAGTTTCTTTCTGCTCTCGTTCCTCGGCAGTCATTGATGATTGTTCTGCCTCCTTTCTGAGTTCAACTTGGAGGTCATGGATCTTTGGAAACTTCGTAAGAGCCTCATCGAGAACAAAAGTGGCATCATTCAGTAAAAGATTAACGAATCGCAAGAAAAAGTCCGTGTTAGTTCTGAGTTATATTAGTATCTTTGCGAATCTTTAGATTATTAGGCTATACATACTTGCTCTCTTGCGACAAACGCTGTCTGTAAATATCATTCGGCCATACACACTTGATGACTTGAAAGATCTCATATCGAATATTGAATTTGTCATAAAATTGAGTGTGTGCTCCAGTAGATTCACATTCTGAAAGCAATTAGTATCATTGAAACTTGGAATTTGAACCATGAACTCACCAATGTAGAACTTCAGTAATGCGTGAAGCAAGTGGTCATTAGCAAATTTCGATCCTATTAGAACATCGCCCAAAACACCTTTAGTGCGATGATATACTGGCCAGGTACCAGCAAAAAGTAAAGATACGAGTTTCGCTTTCAGGTAGGGGTTCTTGATATACTCGGAATTTGTCAAGAAAGTAATACTGAGTGCAATGATCTCATCGCCAACAGCTGAAATCATAACATCAGGGATGAATCTACAACAAATTTAGCCTTTTCCTAAGAGTCGAAGAATGGAGAAACTAACCTAATGATAAAGTTAAAATTGGTAATAATATCCTCTAAAACGTATTCTGGAAGATAATCAAAAGCGGCAGGAGGTGCTGATGGTAACGGCAATCTAATTATTGTCAGTTAACTGTAATGGAAATATCTGAAAGATCTATAATCATACTTGATAGTTTGGCTAGGAGTATAATCAGACTCCGTAGCGATTCTCAAAAGCCAGACAGTAACGTATCTCATGAAGATCAAAGATTTTGCTTGCATAGGTTTGTCAGACAGAACACCTTCAATGGCCATTCTCTTCGACATCGCATTTTCTAAGACTTCATTGATTTTCTTAATTCTCAAATCGAGTAAAAGAGCAGCCCGAGGATCCTGGATTTGATTAGTGACGAACGTGGGGATATTCCGAGGCTGGGTGCTTGACTTACCCGTGCCACTTTGACACGTTCTGCTTCAATGGCAGTCAATTGCTTTTGAATATACTTGATATCTTTCTCCAGACTCTTATGTGTGGCATTAAGAGCTTCACTACCATAGTGATGAGCAGCCAGCGTCAGAAAGAAAACCTCGGAGATGAAATTAGAAGTGCCATCAACAGTGGCCTCATAATACTTTTCGGAAGCCTTCTCATCAGCATTCAACTTAGTCTCGTCCTTAATATCAACACGAGGCGCACGTCGTAAATAATCGATATCAATCTTTGAGATCTTCGAGAATGTGGTGTCCATGAATGGCTCACAAAGACCATCTAAAACAACAGTGACATTATGCATAAAGCCATCAGAAGATACTTCTTTTGGGTCCACCTGAAGTGCTCGACGCTTATGGTTTTGGTTTACAATGTAGGCAAACCAATCCAAGGTTTTGCTTTTAGCTATTGGACTTGCTCGAACAAAGTGGTTGATGATGTCAAGTAAATCTTTTTGATGGGTTTGTAAGGTCAATCGTAACGCGTCTTGAGATGTGGCAATATGTCGCCTATCTATCGTCTTTGGCGCACCGAAGTATTCCCTAGTAACTTCTTGTTGCAAAGGAGATATTCTGAAGAAAGGGCCAAGTAGTGTGTACTTTTCGATAGTGTTTGCTGAAACAGCCATTTGGAATAGTGGAGATTCGGCAATAGCTGTAGTGATTGGGTTGAACTGCGTAAGCAATTTGAAAGCCTACAAACGACATTAGTTCCAGTTGTTGATCTCTCCATTCTACATTTCTTACATGAATGTAGGGCTTGTAAACATCATTCATAGTCATATTAGAGAGTTTACTACTCATGCCTACAAATGCTTTGACAATCATAGACTTTGCCATATCATCCTCCGCAAAGCGAGCTACAGCTTCTTCGAGGAAGTCGGGGCAGATGCCTTTATCCTCACCAGGCTCCAACAAGAAGTAAGGGGTGAGGACATCTGTAGTTAGATTGATCTCTCGTCTGGGAAATGTTAGCTAGATGTAAATATCCTTAGTCCCGAAAAACAAACTGGAAGATGTCTGGCATTTCGGCTGCAAAGATGCAATTGCTCATACATAAGCGTTTAGCTTCCTTGAGAATCGCATCCTTTTGCCCCGCATAACCCCGCAGTCCCTTTGAAGCTTTTATGATTCGTTTCCAACATGGCAATAGGTAGTCGAACACGGGTTTACTATGGGGAATGGTAGAGCACGCTTCCATCAGAGCACCATCAAGCTTATCAGCCGACAACCTAATCTCCGCATGTTCCTCCTCGAGCTCTTTTCTCAATTCGGGCAGGAATATCAGTTTATGATTCGAGGAATCGGTTCGCTGGTTGGGATCTAGAGTAATTCGAAAGATATGAGCAAGAATTCGATTTTCGTAGTCCTCTAAAGACTCTTCGGCGAGATTAGGTTTGCGGGTGGTTGGAGCTGGGCGAGGAGGTGTCTGCATGTCTGATTCAGTTCTGGATCGTTTGCCTAGAACGTTTTGAGAAGGATCAGTTCTTACAGACAATGGTTTCTCAGTAGAGCTTGCTTGCGCGCCCAATTTCGCGAAAGGATTAGCAGCTGGTGTCGGAGTGACGCTCGTAGGTTTAATATCGATAGCTGATTTGGCAACTGGCTGAGCCGATGAAGCATTATCTTTTGGTGCAGATGGTTGCGAAGTAGGAAGAGATGTTGAAGCTTCTGCGCCTGCGCCAGAAATCTTTTCAGTACTCGAAGATGCGGAACCAGTTAACTTCTCCATGCGGCGGCGTCGGATCTATGAGAAGGTTGCCAAAATTAGCCACGGCGAACTCTGGTAAGTATAATAGCATATAAAAACAGATTCTCTTACCTGCTCCATCTTCTCCTTATCTGGAGCATCTGGCCCACTGGGTGGTTGAGGAGCTTGATCTGCCATATTATCAAATTTTAATGTTGATAATGTTGTGTTGGAAAGATGATAATATGATGTATCGAAGATGCTCTTATGGCTAAAGATAGTAGCCTTGTGGGGTGGATGGCTTTATCAGTCAGTGCTACGATTAGCCTCCAGGCTTGATAATCGAGGAAATCTTGCAAGGGTATTTTACGTTACTCTCGAAGCTTCTACCTATGGTCCTTTTCGTACTGAACTTTGTATGCTGTACAAGCCTCACCGGTCATTCAATGACAAAGCCATTATGAGTCTCACAATGGAATTCTTTCCAGAGTATTCATGAATTACAATGGGAATCCATCGTAACGGCTGATTTTTTCTTGTGTATAAATTACTACTAGGTATGCAGACCCCGAAATGATACATCTATAGATTCAATATGGATCAGAACATTGGTCTAATATGGCTGAGACGTTTTTCCATAAGACAATAGTAAAGCCGAGAAACAATATGAAATCAGTACAAGGTAGTAGAAAATCCGAAAGCAAATTAAAACTTTTATATGTGAATTCTTGAACGAAAGTTTCGAGTGAAGGGAGTATGTATTGATGTCTCGAGATAGTCATCATAAATTGACCAAGATGACTGCGGCCACTGTATTATATTGAAAATCGTCCTCTATTATACCTGTAACGAAAGACCCTCACATAAAGTCATTCATCCAGTCTTTTGGATAATGCTCCCAGCCCAAACGCCTTGCTACAAAGCAAATACGCTACATAAACGTGTACACGTCAAATTCAGCATTAATTCCTGATACCCATACTTTCCAACTTCTTGCAGCTCGACATTGGCATGTCTCTAGCCCGTTGAATCTTATCCACATCGCTACTAAACCAGCCTTGGGCTTCCTGGAGTAATTGACTTCGTTGCTGTACTTCTTGTTCGCAGCCAACCTTTAATCGTGAGACATATTGAACCTCCGCTTCTCGATCGATTTGTGCAAATTGATGTGCACTAAAACCCTTGATCTCGGCAGGGTTTACATAGTAGTCAACGTTCATTCTTGAGCTGACTCGGTGGTGGGTATGCGGCGGTATAGGATTGTCGAATCGCATAGAAGGACCACTAGAACCACCTCCAGAAAACAGTGACGACAATAAAGGTATACCGAAGAGAAGTATGAGTGGCAACAAGTTTATGAGGGTCTGAGTCAACGAAGCTGGTGCTTCTGGCGGTGCATTTGGGTCTCTCGGTCTCCTCCTTGGTCTTGCACCCCCGAATTGATGTACTCTAATACCAGGTCCACCACCCAGATTGAAAACGAATCCTGGCTGATCATTAAACATTCCACCACCACCTAAGAAGCTGTTAGTACCAATCGACTTTACCAGACTCGGGAATCGTACCAAAACCTCCTCCTCCAAAAAATCTCGTGAACATCTCTTCCGGGCTAATCTCCTCTTCCCACATAGATCTCCCACCAGGTCTCGCAGCAGCCCCTCCTCCAGCACTTCTCTGCGAAAATCCTGAGAAGGGATTTGACTGCGGTGCTCCTGCACCAAATCTACTATCTGGATCCCCGCCATATCTATCGTATTGCGTTTTCTTGTCCTTATCGCTCAAAACCCCGAACGCCCTACTGACCATCTTAAAAGCTTCATCTGCATGTTCGTGCCCATTCTTATCCGGATGAGTCAACAAACTCAGTTTCCTATAGGCCTTTTTAATCTCCGACTCCGTCACTGTTGTTTTAACTTCTTCTAGCCCCAAAATATCGTAAAATGCTGTGGGCGCACATCTTCTGACCCTTATGACCGCAGCCTTTTGCTCGATTGTATATTTGCGGTCTTGATTCCCTTGGTTATGTTCCCGCGATTTTGCGGTTCCGTTGGCCTTTGTATCAGCGCCAGAAGTGGTAGCCGGCATTGCGCCGTTATTTGTTGAATTGTAAGGATCGCAGATCAAACAGTGTGTCTTGTTGTGTCAATGTCCCGAGTATTATCAAACTTGAGACTTCGTAAATGCTAATAATTATTATATCTTGGTGGTGTCGCAGTTTGTTATGGCCACGATGCTAAAGTGCTTGTCGATGTTTCTCTTCGCTATCGTGCGCTAATGCATGGACTGTACACCGGAATTTTGGGACAACACAGGCACGTGATAGCTACTTGTGTACCATCGTCATAGAAGTCGTATAGATCGAATGCATGTACAATTCAATGTAAATATACATTACGGTACGGTACTTACAGTCTATTTGAAGCTTTCTTTTCATACTTTTCATATACAAATTTAATTTATCAATCGAAGAAGATGTCCGATCAAGACCAAGCAGTTGAGAATGCCAAAAAGACTACAATTTCTTACGCACAAGATTGGGGCCGTGAGTCTCATCCCCCTCAATTGACCCCTCCACAGATTTGAATATGCCCTTTCCCTCACATGAAAGGTTTTCATATAATCGATTCATATTCTATTCCTTCGAGAATAAGAGAAAGCTAACCCATCTCTCACCATAGGCTCCCCTCTTCCCCCCGTCCTCCTCGCAACCTTCACTACCGCTCTACATGCTCGCCCCCTCCAACCTCTTCCCCTAGCCTTCACCCCCGTCTTCCTCTTCAGTACCTACCTCAATCTCTCCGGATACGCTATTGATTCCGCCGGCTTGACAGCTGCCTGGTCTGGTCTCTATCTCATCATGGCAAACCGAAGAAAAGCGTCGGGAAAGAACATGTATGCAAGAATTGGGAGTAAATTTGGAGCCAGGGGTATGGTCCGAGGTGCTGCGATGGGTGTTGCAGGTCTGAATTTGGTGGGTGGTGGAATCACATATGCTTTTGGCAAGAGGGAGAATGAGGATAAAACTCTTTGAATGTATGAATAACTACGGTTGGAGCATTGTATCATATTATGTATGTAGGGTAAGGGGTTCAAAAGGTTATCAAAAGAAAAATCTCGACAGCAGTAGCGGGGATGCCACTCTGCGGTCAATTGTTAACAGCAAAGTTATTGGTTTTGGAATCTATGATGTCTCACGAAGTGTCTTGAGAGCTGTTTGTATGAAGAGTATAGTCAGGTCTGAATTAGAAGTTTATACATATTATAAGGAAGTATATTATAAGAATGCTGTACTCTATCTTGAGTATGTAAGTGAAGCGCGGTGGCCGTAATCCAATACCACCCTTTAAACTCCGAATCGCATCGGCCTTAACGCGCACTGCATAACCGATGTCTTTCTAATGCCCTATCCCAAAAGATACCAGTCCCACCCAATATACCCAAACACCATAGAGAATTAGTTGACATGCATCCAGCTAGTGATCCCAAAATCTCATCAAGTTCAAGTAGATCCAGATAAGCAAGACCGCAAGAGCGAGAGGACGCGCTTTCTTGAAGGACTTGGGGACAGTTGGTTGAACTGTCTGATTACGATCGAGCCCACTGAGACTTGAGACTTGATACTCGGTGATGTATTTGATATCGACATCACGAGCCTTTGGTGCGGCGAAAGTCTTGTATTCTTCAACGATCGACTGAACACTCCAGCCAGAGACGTGACGAATAATGGCGGCAGCACAACCAGTGCGGTGCTATGACTTTTGATCAGCTTGGATTCAATCAGAACAAGGATCAGAGTTAATCACCTTGCCATGATTGCAATGGATTAATAATGGATGATTTTCCTTGTCAAGAGAGATTCTCATGATTTGGTTCATGATATGCTCGGGAATATCGACCTTTTTGGTTCCTTGCATTTCGATGACATAATGACGTATGCCATGAGCCTCCATGAATGCGAGAAATTCGGGAGGGAAGTCTTTCTTTACGAGCGTGCTTCAGAACTTAGTACTAGCCATCAAACTCGGTCATGCAATTACTCACACGATAGATTTTAAACCGAGAGTTCCTAGATACTCAAAGTCCTCTTGTTGGGGGAAGCTGCTACGATAAATTGCATTTGGAGCAATGACACCAAAGTTAAGATCGTGCTTCTCCTTCTCCTTCTCCTTCTCTTTATCCTTTTGCTTCTCCTTGACCAAAGCTTTGGTGGTGTCAACTGATTTGGTTACTGTCCAATCTTCATATTAGCTAATGGTCCGACATACAGGAATGAATGCATGAGTTCAATCCAATTACCTTGTGTTGCAATCGTTTCGGTTTTAGCAGGGAACAATGTACCAAGATCCTTTCCAGCATCGGCACTTTTGAGAGGACTTTGGTGGGCTGAGCTTCTAGCCTCTCTATGCTTCTTGTCCTTTTCCTTGTCTTTCTCGTCTTGGTTGCTGCTGTATCTGGCCTCATGAGGGACCATTGCGGCACCTACGACACCTGCGTTTCCTGACTGCATAACTTCTTGTTCTGTAGCGAAAACTCTTGTCGATCGTCGGGAGATTTTTGCGACTAGTTCATCCGCCATGTTATTGAGGGTTGTAGAGTTATATGAAGATTGAAGTGGTGTATGTACGGATCGTCGTTTGACAATGGTTGTTTTTTCGAGGGATCTAATAATATCCTTAAGGTAGGGATCTCTGACGTATGTTGGTGCTTGGAAAAAGGGAATTCTCTTGACAAGTGAAAATTATCCTTTGGGGGTTGGCCGCTATTGACCACGAATAAATTTCTTCATTAACATGCTGTAGATGGATTGGTTAAGGTGCTCTTGGGATGCTTTGAGAGTGGCAGGTAGACGTTCTGCTGAAATTCGTGGTGTCGTGTGAGGTTAAGAGGAAAAGTTGTGTGGTGTATGTGTATTTGTTTTTGTATGTGCAAGAGGGAGGGAGGAGGTAGTTAAGTTCGTTGGATTCGATAAGAACAGAAGGAAATACCGAATACCTTAAATTCTGGGGAGAATTAAAGTAATGAGCATTGTGCGAGAGCTAGATTTGGTAGATTCATAACTAAAATTGTAAATTGTAACTAAAATTGTTCGTTCCAGAAAAATGATGATTTTTGGTGATTTATCTACCTAGTAGTTACTAGTATAGTAGTCTGTCTGTCTAGGTAAGCCAATTCCAAGGAAGTCATTAATGTCCGATGCATCTAACTCCAGTCAGGCAAGGGTAAGATTTGGCTTAACTAATAAAGATATCCATACGACGTACATCCTGCTCTGGACATTTTCGCCATTGTTCCGAGGAACCCCAGAGTTTGAGCCGTAAAGGTTTTACCTATAATTAAATAAAGTCACAAAGAAATTGATTCACAAAGCAAATCATGACCCGTCTTTTGGGGATTTTGATATAAATATGAATAGATATAAAATGTGTATAACTTACAAGGACATAATTATGGTTTATTTTCTCAACAGGACATACCAGGTAGCTAATTGACGTGGCTGTTAGTGAAGTGTGGGTTTTTATTCCACTGTACATAGAAATTAAGCGGCAAATGCAAATCAGGAGATAAATTGGAGCTCCCCGTTACATCCGCACCTGCATCTTCATTCCTAGCTATGGATACAATGCATTTGAAGGCATGTCTCTACAGGGTTGTTGCATTTTACTGGAGACCGCCGATACCCCCAAATAACATTTCACTGTATAGATCATGCACAAATGATCCTTCTACTTAAGTGTGTGTTGGATACCGATATTCTGTTGCGAAAGTGGTGTGCTCGCGTGCTCGTGTGCCCTCTGGTGTGCCCTGTGGTGTGCCCTCTGGTTTGATAACAGGCGATAATGCTGGGAGACTTACTATTACTGGTAATGAGTGGAAAGAAGTAGTATATGACTACCAGATCGCACCTATTAGCGAGTGAATAATGAACGAATTTGCCGACCATCTAGGCCCTTGACACCCCCAAGTCCTGTTCGTGATAGGTACCTACATGGCCGCGAGGGTATCCAATATACAGCTAACCAGAAAAACAGTTAACCGAGCCATAATAAGTCTAATCCATTATTGCAGATCGATAAATACTCACTGGATGATCTCCTCGACGCTTAATCCCAAAAGCGTAACGGTGGACGAGAGACAAGTCCATGGGGTATACAGCCACGACAGCTAGCTTTCGTCAGTCAAAATATGACCATACGGAATATCCCCATTCAGCGGCAGACACCCCACACACCTCGAGTCCCGCCACCATGATCTCTGTTGAGCCCACTCTATGTCAAAAGCCCTTTACTCACATTCAATTCTCACGATATCGATACGTAGTGTCTGCCATACCAAAAAACCATTTCTGATTCACAAGGAAAAATCATTTCCAAATTTAGTGTGGGTAATAGATACCCTACTTGGGGACTCCAGAAAATCCCCATAGAGCTTTGACTAAACTCAATTTTCGCCAAGATACCAATCACCATCTGTCCCATCAAGAAGAATTATTCATACCATGAGAACCTTAAATGCGTCTTCAAAAGACCATTGTTCGGCTTCTAGATTTATCACAGAATGTTTAGCATTTGTTACATGCGTCAGGTTGATGGGGGGATATGAGTTGCATACCTACTCCCAGCTCAAGCTTATGTGAAAGACGGCACTCGTAGTTCTGTCAAAGATAAGATCACGAGTAGAATCATTGTCTTTATAATTTCGAAGTATGAGAGTACATGTCATCGACACCTCACTAGATTGTTAGCTCTCTGTCTGTCCTACGTACCATCGCCGAACAGGCAATTTTCTCCGGCGCGTAAAAAAAACTGTCAGAATGACGAGCAGACAGCTGGATTGTATTCAACCAAGCCCTCCGCGATTTTTGATACTAGATCTTGAGAATGGTGACCGGTAGCCTTTAATATGACTGCATTCAAGACATGGCGAGCAATCGCATTTCTTCGATAATACCTACTTTCGCCAAGCATTCAACTAAGTCATTGGTCTACGATTTGATGAGAAGTGTGACATAGTTGATACCGTAGTCTCATCGAAACCAATCCATTGATCTGGGGTCGAGTTCACCTCCATCAAGCCATCAAATTTCTTTCAGAGTGCAAGGAGATTACGGTCTTACAGATAAAGATCAATATTGACAAGAGCCGCAGATAATGTGCAAATACTGCTGTCAGTTCCTCGAATGCCGAATAATGCCTAAGGCAGCGTGTGTATATAAATCTTGACGTCGAGTTCCGCGGTTAAAGGGGCCCAGCATTTCGTCGATGAGGTGTTCGAATTCCATTTTTCCGAAAAATTCTGTGGAATTCTAAAGCTAAGCCCCCAAATTTAAGCCCCATTGAATACCTGACCCATCATACTTCTTGTTTGACTCTTACCTCGGGGAAACCAGACGGTATGTTCGAAATGTTTCACTTGGGAGTTCTCTTGTCAATATTACAATCTGGTTGTTCAAAATGGTGGTTAGGAAGGCTTTCATATTAAGTATTTGACTTTTCGATGTCTACCAGCCTTCGAGAAAACAAGACTTTCTGGCGACAAAAAAGTTGCTGTCAATGGTAGCGTCACTGACGAGAAGGGTCCTATTGGCGATATAATTTTTGCGGAGAATGGAAGAACTTGCTGAAGAAAGAAGTGTAATGGCTCTTCTTATCCGCAAAAGCAGATGAGGTTGACCGGAAATTCAGAGTTTCTTCTCCTAGGTCCCAGGTTTCTACGGTCATAGTAACTACTGGGAATTTTTTGCAGTTGCCTTCCTGAAGCGTGGTGAGATCCTATCAAGCTGGCAGTAGGTATCGTTCTTAGAAATAACCGTCAAACTCCTTGAATAACCCTTCTCATTTATCTCCAAAGGTGTACTTGTCTCAGTCCGGATATCTTGCGGAGGATCCACGAGGTTCTAGACATATACAATGCTGTTATCCACGTTCTACCTTTTCTTTTTCCTGCTCAAGCCTCCTCTCCCAACCTGTATAAAGTTTCCTCTTGAGAATCAAGCTGGAAATTCCTACCGATTGGAAAAGTGGCGGTTGGATT